AGCCAAAAACAAATTCCATATGGTTTTTGGGAGCCTGTGTCTCAAGACAAGCAATTTAATATAATTGATTTGTCTCTCCAGGAAACTGCTTGGGATGATTTTAATAAGGCCTCAGTAGATGCTGTTAAAAAGTTGGTGTCTGACAAATTGCAATGGTGCAACTTGGCAAGTGAGTTTATAAGTGTGTGTAAATTGGCTCCACTGTGCATCATTAAAATCTCAAGTTCTTTCTCTCCTGGAAATTAGCAGGTCTCTGAGTTTACACTTAGGTTTGAGTATTGTCCTAATCTAGAAGACAGTGAAAGACCACCTCAAAGGGGGAGGGAGGAGTCCTTTGAAAACTGGCAGGATCTCTACAAAACTTTTGTTAAATTCCAAGAAAACTGAAGAAATTGTGGTCTAATCAATTTTATTTAAAGGCTGTGGGTCAAGCAGGGCTATCTGCATTGCTTTAAAACTGCTTGGATTGGGCTGGTTTCAAATATCACTTTTCTGGGGGGTGACACTGCCAGCTGATGAATCTGGTCTTCACAGCAAAATCTAAACTCAGAAATGGTTCTTGGCAAAAAATAAGGCTAATCTAGAGCTGTCCCAGGGCTCCTGTTCTGTAGAACTCTTCTGGCTGCTCCTTCTTGCCAGAACCTGGCAAATAGGGGACAAAGTTTTGAATAAAATCCCAAATTTTAGAGTCAGGGAATCTGACAGTGAGTACAGAGCCCATCTGTGATGTGAGTTGCAGTGTGGGATTATTCCCTTGTTAAGCATGAAGACAGCAGAATTACCTCAAATGAGTTTATCCCTGTGTCTGAAACACAAATGGTCATTAGAGAAAAAGGAGCATTTTTAGCAGCCAAATCTTAAATCAGTCTGGGTTTATGATAAGCATTCCTAGCTGGAGAGCTCACGCTTTGACAAAGCTTGGTAATACCACAATTGGTCAAAATCAAATCACTTTGGTTGTGTTATGCTGGGGATGGTCCCGGCATGGCAGGAGGGGTGGGTGACAAAGCCCCTCTCCAAGCAGACAGCTGCCCCTGTGCTGTCTCTCTGAATTCAGAGACATCACCAGCGCTTTTGGTTTAAGGTGGTAGGCTTGGGATAGCCCTAATCCAGGGTATCATCAGCTGGTGTGTGTCTGTATTCTGCAAATGGATTGCTGAGATTTTTTTTCTTGATTTGCATTTGGTTGGCAGTTGGGTTTTGAAATGACTGCTTTAATTATAAAATATAATGTAAGAACTGTAACTTTAAAGTGTGCATCTTCAACTAGGGATTTCCTGTAGAGGTCACAGCAAAATGCAAGTTGAGTTGCAGCCAGTGACTCTGGAAGGCTGAGCTATTTGCGTGAATAAGATACATAATGAGTTTCCACTGTACTGCATGTACATGCAGCTTAGGGGTATGGGATAGCAACTCTTGAGGGATTTATACAATCCGGGTATCTCCAGACTGCTTTGAGGTATTGCAAGATGCTGAATACCTGGGAATTTTTATTATTTTTTTAACCTTGACACAGAATACCCTTTCTAAAAGCAACATGTCATGTCTGCAGGTATTTGGGCTCAAGGCCTAATGTTTTTGAGCGATGTTTCAGAGCTGCTGCAATTACTGCATGTGGACTGAGTATTTCAGTATCTAGCGTATGCAGAGGCTACTAAGGCTATTCTTAAAGCATTTATGTAAAAATCACTAGGTTTTGGCAAGCATATGGTAAATAAGGGATTAAATAACAGCATGACAGGCACAGTTGAGGAAGCTTTTGGTAACTGTTGATGATTTTCATGGGAGCTTAAAGGACTATGTTTGCATGTGGCACATACTAGTGACATGTATAGTTCACAGACATAATCCTTGGGGTTAGGCTTTTGTAGTGTTGGGCTAATGACATCACCAATAACCTCATTAAATAGAAAACCTGATTAGATTAGGCTAAAACCATATCTCGAATACCATCCTGTGTTTCTACTTCTAATAGCCCAGCTAAGAATATCCCTGCAAATACATGACTGAGCACTAGATGTAGAGTTGAGAGCCAGCAGCCCAAAGCACTCTCCACAGTTCTGGGTGACTGCCACCTCGATGGGGTCAATGCATCCCACCCCAAAAGAAGCATTTAAGATTTATGACACAACCCTACCCTTGAAGGTGTCTATACTTCCACAGGTTACCACACCACCACTACTCAGAAGTTTGCGTTTTGGTGAGATAACTACCTATCACATGTACATCATGCTGGTGGCTGGCAATGAACAGTTTAGCAGAATGTCAGCCTTATGTTGTACTAAGGCTGGATTATCGGTACTGGGCTTTAGATGTAAGGTCTCAGATTAAAAATATCAAAAGCAAATAGTAGGAGGCTCCTTTTTGTGGCCAGTATTAGCACATCTCTTGACTATTGGTACAGCAGTGGACTTTGAAGTCTTGTACCACGTAGAGATTTTGCATGAGATATTGCCCTCTTGCGGCTGTTCAACGAAAAGATGGGCAACTGTCTGTGGAAGTGGCATGAAGCCAGTTTAGGAAGATGGAAGAGCACAGTCTGAGTTCTTATCACAGCTATGGATGAGATTATCTCTCTTTATTGTATCTCTGGAATCCGGGTTTATTGCAAAATGATTAGCTCCATTCTTTGTTGCAAAACTTCATGGGAAGTGTGATGTCTGGTCGTAGGGCTAACTGCTGTACACAGAGAAAGATCTGGACCATGTGGATTTATTCCAGCCACAGGTCTACACAACCATGGCAGGATAGGCCTGTGCTTTGTAACCCTTGGAGAACTCCAAGTGATCTCCTGACGTATACACAGAAGTCTTAATGTTCTAAGAGATGCACACTGCAAACATAGCAAAGAGGCTTTAAGAATGATTGGCAAATAGTATAATTTATGTTAAGAGTGCAGAAGTTATGGGCAGGTAATACTGGAACAGGAACAGACCTGTTCCTGTACATCAGATGGAAAGTGGTGCTCCTGTAAATGAATGCATAATGCCCGGATGCCTTCTGGAAGCAGAGGGGGATTTTTGTTAGCTCTTCAAAGTAGTACTGGTAATTTTTGTGTTCATTCTTATGTCAGGGTACACATCTACTTCAAGTAGTGCATGGATTTCACAAGTGGTTTATCTTCTGTCAGTTCTGTAGGGGCTATACAAAATGAAAAGGTTGCTCTTGTATGAGAATTTGAGATTGGCCATAAAATCAATGTGGAAGGCATTTACACTGGCGCACAACATGTAACCGATATGCTTCAGGGCAAGACAAGTTGGTTTGAAAACAGTTTGTGATCAAGCAATTTTAAGGCTGTAGTTTAATTTAAAGAAATTGCAACACTGGACTCTTGAGATGTAAAACTTCAGTAACCTGGAATGGCACCTGGGGTGGGCTGGCAGGACCTAGGGAGAACGACACCATCTATTTCTTTTTCCTGGCACTAGACTCAAGCATCAAACCACAGCCCTTTAATAAGGTCCCACAATGTGAAAGTCATAGGAATCAAAGGATTCAGGGTGAAGAAATAGTTTATTGCATTTCTAGTTCACCTTAAGCCTCTGACAGTATTCTGAAAAAGCCTCATATATGCAATAAAGGTAGCATCCTAAAAAGCTTCAGAGACATTCCTCCCCAGATATAGCCTTACATGTTTATAAAACCTCATTAAAGAGGAGGTGCTTACCCTTGCAGTCAAGCTAGTGTGTTTTGCCAGTGCTTACAGATGTCTGTATGAATATTCCTGTGCTGCTAAATCTGGACCTGTTGCTTCCTTAATAGATCGGTGTTCCTGAGTCTACAGTAAAATAACTTTTCTGTCATACGTAGATATTCTAATCCGATGTAGAAAGAAGAAAAAGGATAGTCACGTCTCCTGGAGATACAGATGATTATATAGTACCAGTAATTAATTCTTTGTAGCAGTGAGTATTTCTGTTAAGTCTCTGTTATATTTCACCTGAATAGGTGATGCTGTAATGTAAAGCACTATGTGCCTTTTATATCTGCTGACTAAAATAATTCTTATGGTAGTTTAAGCTCTGACTTTGTTCCCTTTCAAGCTGGAAGCAAACTTCTGTGAGACAGTGAGCCAATAGACAAGCCTGTGTCAGATGGGATATCATAGTCACCTATTTAATTTCTCTGTATTGCTGTCAAATGAGAATGTGTTACAGTATTCACACCATCTCATATCATGCTCTGATCTGCAAACAAGGAAGTGCTTGTGCCAAACTCTGCTTTATCTCTCTGTAGGGCTACTAGGTAAATCATTACCATGAGTACTGAGTTATATTTGATGTAGGAATGTAGGGTAGATGGAAAGATCCTTCAATGCCAAGTCTTCCTAGACTACTTTGGGAAAAGGGCTGGGAGTGGGGCTGAAGTCCAGCTAGATCCTGAAAGTACTAATACTCTCATGGAAGTCTGTAAGGTAAAACTTATAGATGGGAAGGAGGTCTTTAATTGGATGCTACATTATCTCTTTTGATATGCCACTGGATAAAGCAAAAAAAAACCCCAGAAAGTATTTGGGGTATACCACCTGTCTGATTACCAGGGATTTAATTGTTCTGTGGTAGGCATTACTAGCTTAAAATTAGGGCTTTGGCTTCAGCTAGTAATCTAGACTACTTTGGTGATATTATTGCTAAATAATTTATGCTAAAAAGGATGTCTAGAGGTCTGTACTTCACCCCATTGTTAGGTCAGGTTGCTTGGGGCTGCGTCCAACCAAGCTAGCCACCACAGAGAAGGTGTCTTTGTCTTCAACTTTCAGCTCTTCAGTCTGAGAAGATGGCTTGCAAGAATTAAACTTTTTTGTTAATAACCATTAAGCTTAATACCTATATTTTTGCCTTTTGCATTAGCTATATGTGAGCAAAACTTAGATTTTGAGTGTGGCAATGCAAACTTGCAAATGTTTTTGAACTGCAAAATAGACCAAAAATCACCTTCTCTAGAAGGAAGATGCAATTTTGACTAAGTTACAACCTCTTCTTTCTTCCAGGTACACCTCTGCAATTCTTTCTACAATGAAAGATAAGATGCAGGGAGTCAACCTGTCAACAGTATCTGAATTTGTTCTCGTAGGCCTTTCTGATGTTCCAGCAGTCCGTTTTCCTCTCTTTGTGCTGTTTTTGATCATTTATTTGGCCGCAATGGCAGGCAACATCACAATCCTTGTTGCCACTAGCACAGACACCCGTCTGCACAACCCCATGTACTTCTTCCTTGGCAACTTATCCTTACTAGATATCTTATGTCCCACTATCACTGTGCCAAAGATGCTGGAGGCCTTGTTGCTTGAGAACAAGGTGATTTCATTCACTGCCTGCATGCTCCAGATGTTCTTCCTCATTGATGTTGTAGGCACAGAGATTTTTCTCTTGGCTGTGATGGCGTATGACCGTTACGTTGCAATATGTCATCCGCTGCAGTACGTGAATATTGTGAGTATGAAACTGTGTGCTCACCTAGCCATTGGCACCTGGGTAGTAGGATTTTTTAATTCTCTGTTGCACACATCTTTGATTTTTACACTCCTTTTTTGTGATTCTAATGAAGTTGACCAATATTACTGTGATATTCCTCCTATGCTGGCCCTCTCCTGCTTGCCTACTTACAGTAGGGAAGTAGTAATTCTCATAGTTGCTGGGGTCCTTGGAAGCAGTGCCTTTGTGGTCACTCTGATCTCATATATCTATATCTTGTTGTCTATCCTGTACATGAACTCGTCTGAGAGCAGGCACAAAGCTTTCTCCACTTGCGGGTCTCACTTGACAGTAGTATGCCTCTTCTACGGGACCACCATTTCCACATATGTACGGCCTTCCTCCACCTACTCACCTAATCAGGATAGGATAGTTTCCATGCTCTATGGAATCCTCACTCCCCTGCTAAACCCCATAATCTACAGTCTGAGGAACAAAGAAGTTAAATGTGCCCTGAGAAGAGTGATCAGCCGAGTAAGAACTGCTTTAACAAGACGAGAACATCTCTGTCAGCCTCTGGCGTCCTCTGGAGCCCTAGCAATTGGATAGGCACTGCAGTTTGACTGATCTTCTCTAACTTTAGCCATCTAAAAGTTAGATGCTGGAATCAAAACTCCTTCTCTGGGCTCCCTTTACAGTTAAAAGGGATAAGTGGGCACTCCAGAAGGCCAACTGGATGGTGTAGCTTTAGGTCGTTATCACAGGAGGAGATGACTTTAGCTGGTAATGTTTTTCTCCACTGAGCACAGAGGAAGCTTAGATACAGGTGTTGGATGTCTATCTTAGAGCATGAATGCTGTGAATTGCTACTGTAGGGACACTTAGATATAAATTTTTCTGTACTAGAGCAGTTTATAGGACTTGACACCTCTTATTGACCACATTGCTCCTGCACAAAACAAGCTCCTGCACATCCTTTGTGGGAGATTGACTGGAAGGAAGGTTCCTTTGCTATCATTTAAGGTCATCAGTCTGGGTGTGAATTCAGCCAGCATGCCAAGAATCAACTGCAACACCTGCAGTGCCACCAGGTGCAATCTGGCCATGGTTTGCACCATGTACCTCCAAATCAGTCTGCCAGGGTGCAAACCAACTCCCATAAACTAGGGATGTCAACTATGCTGATGTCTATACATTAGACAACTTTAAGACTATGGCCAGTGTGGGGAAAGGGAAGCTTTGCAGGCATGGGCTTTGTGACCATTGCCCTGGCTTTTCTTAGTGTTGGTGACTGAAGGAAGGTTTAAAGAGTGTACTTTAGGTCTGTGTGAGTCCATAACTAGGAACTGTGCTTCACTTCAGGCAAAAAGTGAAGGTGTGGCTGGCAAAAAGGTGGAAATGGATGTGCAGAGAGATGGAGCACTATGCAGTCTCCCCTCTGCATTGCGGCTATAAAGCTGTGTCTATCTTAGCTAAGAGGGTCTATGCTGGGATGATAAACTCCTGCAGCTTGAGACAGACCTCAGGCTGTGTTAAAAGTGCTGTGGCATGGTATTCCAGCTGTTGTGCCTGGTATTAAATAACTGATGTGACTTTGTTTGCACGCTATTCCTTACTAAACCAAATGTCAAGAATGTCTGTCTTAGTGGCCTTTTTTGCAGCGGCTGTCTTGGTGTAAAGGATAAGCTAATGACTCTCCTGCAGGAACTTGTATCTCAGTGGTAACAAATGCACATTCTTAATATTGAACTGTGTCCTGACCTACAGTAAAGTTGGGTTCAGTTTTCTAAACGCAAGTTTTAATGGCATGCGAGATGAGCCAAGGTATCTTTTTCTGGTCTGTAGTGCTTGATCCATAAAAAGTATGGACTACTTAGTCACGTTTTGCTTCCATTGAGTGAAAAGATAGTAAGTCCTCTACTGCCAAATAGGAGATATTTACCTATTAGAGCAGAGCAGCAGGTGTTTACACAGGATTTCCTGTGATTCTTGAACTATGACAGTGGAAACCTTTTTCCAGAAAAGAAAAAAGGGGTGGGGGGGGCTGGCATTTTTTCCAAAGCCACCTGACAAGTCACATTGGTGAAATAGATGCCCCTGAGGCTTTTTGAGAGCACCAGGTTGGGGTGAGCTGTCTGAGGATCCAGAGTCACTTCCAGGACAGAGCAGGGACAATGGGGAGGGAGGGAAAGCCAAGGAAGGGAGAGGGGGGTTCGTGTGGGAAAGAGAAGACGACAATGACCTCCTGCCCCAGCACTAAGTGTTTCTACTCTGCCACCTAAACACACCCAGACTTTTCATTGAATTCACTGCATCCTAACTAGACAGGCAGAGCAGGAGAAATGTGAGGTTTCACTCTCCTGCTCTGCCCTTCTGACCATCTGGGATGTTTTGTCAGTCCTGTCTCATCCTGGAACAGAGCACTAGCTGCTGATGTGGGAGTCAGGGCACCCTTCTGGTGTCTGCTCCTTTTTGATTTGAGAAAAGACCTGCTGTGACCTATGTTCCTGCTCTGAATTCAATCTTAAATTCCCCTCTATCGGAGGAACTGAGGGGGGGAAAAAAACAATCCTGGTGTTCTTGTATAGCATTTTCAACCACAGGGTGCTTCCCTAGTGAAGAAGTGTAGAAGACTCAAGGTAGTAGGTTATATTTGTTCCTGTGGCATCGTAAAGTGGCAACTCTCATGTCCTCCTTTTTGTTGGAGATTGGCTTCTATGTTGGTACCCTGAACCTCATCCTTAGGCTAAGCAGCATGAATAATTCCTTTTCGGCACAACCATCCCTCCACCTAGCTCAGTGAGTTCACAGTTTAATTTTGATGCTCCTGGAAATACACCCATAGTTGAACTCTTCTAGTGCTTAGTGACTTCATGGTCTCCAGATAACACCACCTTGTCTTGCCCCATGACAGTAATAAGATGTCTCTATCCTGCTAAATGCTACAGAGGTAGTATATGTGCTTCCACATATCGGATGACAGAAACAGAGAGGTCTCCACCTTGTCTGAGGTGGAAATTGGACATAAAAGTTCTTCATCCTATTTAAAATGAACCCCCAAATATATTAAATTATGTTTTAGGGATCAGTCATGAAATGTCTCTCTCTGCTCCTTGGGTGTGCATGGTTTGGGATATTGCTGGAATCCTCCATTTCCTTCAGAGTGACCCCTCTTGGATAAGAGGAGAAGCACTGAGGGTTTCTTTGGCCGCAGAAGCAAGTTTGACACGTGTGGTACGGTCAAAAATGCAAGTTTACTGTCTGACTTGGGACTCGTCATCAGGCAACCACTGGGCGAGGTCACATGTGATCCTGAAATCTGTTAAGGTGGTGTTGTGCACCGCTGGAGCTTCCGATGGTGTTTGCCAGTCTGTGGGGTGCCCACAGGTGAAGGTCCTCACCAGGGCTCAGGCCTTGGGTCTGTAGCAGGCAACCCTGGGACCGGGCCACAGCAGACCGGGGTGAACACTTGCCCTGCCAAGGCATTTGCTGTCCCCTGGGGTATCCTTGGGACAGCACCTGTGGTGGCTGTGCCCATTGCGTTGCTGCAGCTGCAGGATGTGCTGGGCAGGGTGCTAGCCTGCAGGGATGCCTGGCTGTTTTCCTGCCTGGGCACGGGGCTGTAGATGATGGCAGGATGTTTGTTTAGAGGAGGAGCTGGAGGAGGCCTGTCCTTGTCCCGCCACAGTATGGCAGCTGTGCTCAGAGGCAGAGCTCTCTGTGGATGGTGACAGTTTCCTCTGCCGCTGGAGAATCTTCTCCAGGACTGAGCAGAGGGTGTTTCCACTCAGCCCCTCTGCAGTACCCTGGGCATCCTGAGCTGGGTGCAGGTGACACAGGCACACCTGTCTGGTGACAGGGACACTGCAGTGCTGCTGCCATGACAGGCTGTGTTGTCTGGGGGTCCCTTCTGAACTGGAGGGTGTTACGATGGGAGGGAGCAGAGGTGCCTGGGGTGGTGTTGCCTGTGGGAGGCCAACAGGAGTCCATGTACCTTGAATGTCTGTGCTCCTGGAGGTGTCCTGGGAGCATGCCCCCCAGCCCGGGGAGCTCTCAGAGCTGCCAGGGCACTACCTTCTTGAGGACTGCCACCTTCCCCTTTTGTTGCCTGCCCCTGCCCCACAAGGCTTGGATGCTGTGGTCCCCTGGGTGCTGGTGGTCCCCTGTGAAGGGACTGCATCGGTCAGGCGGTGGAAGCTGCCACCAGCAGTTGTGGCCTCTGCCTTGCAGCAGCCCCGGTGGCTTTGTGGGACTCCT